CAAGTAGGAGATGGTAGCTTAGGTCGTAAAGTGATTTTGCCTTCATCCTTCACTGGGTCTCCGAGAAACATGTATCAAAATTACTTAGATGCAATGTCAATTGTTCAATACTTCGGCAAGCCATCGCTTTTTGTTACAATGACTTGCAATCCGAATTGGGCGGAAATTGTATATAATATTGATCCTAATGAATCATCTCATTTCAGGCCTGAAATAGTTGTGCGTGTATTTAAATCGAAGTTAAAAGAACTCATTTCTGACATTTGGAATAAATATATTTTTGGCAAAGTTGAGGCTCTTATATATACAATCGAATTTCAAAAAAGAGGTTTGCCTCATGCTCACATTTTGATAACTTTATGTGAAAATGACAAAATTGTCGGGCCGGCTGATATTGATAAAATAGTTTGTGCAGAGATACCGGATAAAAATTTGCAGCCAAAATTACATGAATTTGTTGTCAAACACATGATGCACGGTCCTTGCGGTGTTTTGAATCCAAGCTCTGTATGTATGCAAGATGGAAAATATTCAAAACAATTTCCAAAGGATTTTGTGCAATTAACGAAAGAATCAGTTAATGGTTATCCGTTGTATAGACGGCGCGATAATAATGTTTCCGTTGATGTTAGAGGAAAGTCTTTAGATAATCGTTATGTCGTTCCATACAACCCATATTTGCTTGCAAAATATAATTGTCACATTAATGTCGAGGTGTGCACTTCCGTCAAAAGTATTAAGTACATATATAAATATGTATATAAGGGTTTTGATAGTGCAACTGTTTTAATTCAAAGTGAAAGCACAAACGAAAATGACTAACAAGTACAAGTTGAAGTAGATGACGTTAGAAATTTTTTGAATGGTCGATATGTGGGATCAACTGAGGCTATGTGGCGAATATATGAATTTCCTATGCATTTTCAGTCTCATATTATAATTCGTCTTGACATTCATTTGCCACAAAGACAAAATATAATATTTCGCGAAGGCCAAGAAAGACAAACAGTAGAAAATCCTAAGCTTACGAAGCTATTAGCTTTCTTTCAATTGAATCAAAGTGATTCATCTGCTAATCAATATACGTATATAGAAATTTCATTGCATTATGTTTGGATTGATAGTAGAAAATCTTGGCAAAAAAGACAACGAGGAGGAGATAAAATTATTACTCGGATGTATATGGTGTCTCCCAAAGAAATCGAGCTATTCCATTTAAGATTACTTTTGTTGCATGTAAAAGGGCCAAAATCATATGAAGATGTGCGTACATTCAATGGAATTGTTTATAGCACATTTATCGAAGCATGTCATGCTAGGGGAATTGCGTCCAATGATAATGAGTGGAGAGTTTGTCTGAATGAAGCTAAGACATTTAATTCAGCAAAACAAATGCGTAATTTGTTTGCGATTATTTGTGCCTTAAATATTCCAGCAAATGCAGTAGCACTTTGGGTGGAATTTAGAGATAATTTAAGCGAAGATTTCGTTAGAGATGGTTGTAGTGTAGATGTTTCTTTTAATAGAGTATTATTGGAAATCGAGGAAATTTTGTTAACACATAATGTTACATGTACGTCACTTGGTTTGCCTACACCTACAATAATACCAGAATTTACTGATCTCGATATTTTTGATCCTTTTGTAGAAGAATGTTTATTTAATGAGCTTTATGATTGCGCAAATAATGAACAGCGTGATACTATTGATAAAGTTATTCGTGAAGTTCAGTATCACGATATAGGATCAAATGTGTTTTGTTTGACAGCCCATGCAGGTTGTGGGAAAACATTCACACAAACGGCTATAATTCGTAAATTAAATTCCCTTAATCTTCGCTGTATTTCGTGTGCATTTAGTGGAATTGCTTCCACTTTATTGATTGGTGGAAAGATACTCCATAATGTTTTTAAACTGCCTATAAATCTGATGGAAAATACAGTTCCGAATATAAAAAAAAATAGTAGTTATGCCAGATTTATTAATTCGGCGGCATTATTTATAATTGATGAAATTTCGATGTGTCCGTTACAAGTGATAAAATGTATTGATACGTTGTTGAAAGACTTATGCGACGATTCACAAAAAAAACAAATGATTTTTGCTGGAAAAACTGTATTATTATGTGGAGATTTTAGACAAATATTGCCCGTTGTTCCTCATGCATCACGAGCAGTAATGATTGAAAATTGTATTACGAGTTGGGCAGAATTTCCGTTTTTCAATCATATAACGTTAACTTAAAATATGAGAGCACTCCCCGAAGAGTTGGAATTCGTTCAATTTCTAAAGAGAATTGGCAATGGTGAAGATTTAGTAGAAATTCCAGCAAATTTGATAGGTGTTGAATCTAACATAGTACATGATATTTTTGGAGATATTAATGAAACCATTTTATCAGATAGAATGTTGAAGTCAGTTGTGTTAGCTCCAACTAATGAAGATTGTGGACTTATCAATAACGATGTATTGAATCGCATCGCTGGTGAAAAAAAGGTTTATTACAGTTTTGACAGAATTATTTCCGAGGATAACAGTGAGGTGTGCAACTATCCAGTAGAATTTTTGAATACTTTGATTGTAAGTGGTTTGCCACCACATAAGTTGGAGCTCAAGATTAATGCGATAGTTTTGTTAATTCGAAATTTAAATACGAAGCAAGCATTAGTGAATGGGACGAGAATGCGAGTCAAAGCAATGCATAATAACACAATAGATTGTGAAGTACTCACTGGAGTTGCACGCGGAAAACGTGTTTTGATTCCACGCATACACTTGACGTATTCAGGGACTGCACTGCCATTTAATTTTCAAAGAACACAGTTTCCAGTCATCAGCGCATTTGCTATGACAATTAACAAATCCCAAGGACAGACATTTGATAGAGTTGGAATATTGTTGAGGAGACCTGTTTTTTCGCATGGTCAACTTTACGTTGCAGCGAGTAGAGTTAGATCATTTGACGGGCTTAAATTTTATGTCAGTAATGAAGGTGGACAAGGTCATTTGGCTAATGATGAAAGGGTGTTTACAAAAAATATTGTTTACACTGAAGTTTTGAGAACTTCGTGATATAAAATATAGAATTATTATTATACATTATTATCATTTTAGATTTCATTCAGTTGGAATGTTTTTCAATATTTAATTTTTTTCATTCGTTCATTTGCCAATTTCATTTCTTTGTTTCTTGCCTTCACTGCATACCGCGATTTGATTTCGTGATGGCAGAGTATAGGAATTTGTTTGATAATTAACACGGGAGCGAGATGTTGTGCAAAGTCGCATTGTCGAAATTATGGCTTCAATAAAGAATAAACGCGATCAATTGAAAATCGAAGGACTTTTTTTTGATTTTTTTTTTTAATTATTTTATTATTTAAGGTATTAAAGAAAATTGAAGGATGAACGCAATAAATTGCGTCAGAATTTCGAATTTCTTCAGAAGAAGGTGCTGTTCTACAAAATTGCTGATTCCTATACTGATAACTTTCCGATATCACCTGAAGAACAAATGTACGGAGCAGATGTTAAGATAATTTATTTGTTGAAAAGATTTCAAAATGGAGCATCAGTTCGAAACTTTATCGGTATTTCATTCAAACAATTCATCATATTTCATATTTTATACTAATTATTTTCTTCTTTCGCAGGTGCATATGTGGTCACATATGACGACAAATTTAAATTAAACGATTTGATTGGATTGATGATACAAGGAAGAATTAAGCCAAAACCAGAAACACAACAAATAATTTTGCACGAGATGAAATTATAAATTTTAATTTATTTTTTAAATTGTTTTCTACAACTTTCTTTAGATTTTGTTCATATTTTAATCAAATTCATCAATAAAATTTAAATACTATTAAACTAAATAAATTGTATTTTCTATTGGTCGAATTTCGACCACTGGCGACCCTAGTGTAAAATAAACACATTAAAAATTAAAATATAATTTTTTAAAAATATTAATATACGAACCCGAATATTAATTGGCGCCCAACGTGGGGCTCGCGATAATCAAAAAATCTCTAATATTAAAAAACGAGATTTCGCGAGTTATAAAATATACAGTGAACTCACGCAAATGCGAAAAAACGTGGGGCTCGCGTTAATAAAATATCTCAAATAATAAAAAACGAGATTTCGCGAGCGAAAATTTTTTAATGTGCAAAATTTTTTTTAAATTCGAAAATCAATTGGCGCACGCGTTAATAAAAAAAAATCTCAAATAATAAAAAAAAACGAGATTTCGTGAGTGCACAAAATTTTTTATATGTGTAAAATTTTTTAATTATTAACACTAAAAGGATAAATAGAATTATCCATAAAGTTAATATTGAAGTTTAGAGTCAAACTTCATAAAAACTGAAAACATTAAATAACAATTGTGTTTAACAATATTAAAGAATGTCGTATAAAACAATAGTTAAAATTAACTATTTAATTTTGAATAAAGTGTTGTGACATTGTTTACAAAAAATTCGTATTTCCAAAACAATAAATATTGGAAACTGAATAAGAATTTTTTTTTTTAAGAAAATTTTTCTAAAAATTGTGCTACGTTAAAACACATGTGTAAAAACATCTATAAAAAATTGTTGAATTTTATAAACAAGGTTGCTGCTAAGCCTTTGGAGCATCAACTACATAAGCAATTACAATAACTTCTCTACAATTGGTACTGGAGGTATTTTAACAGCAGCCAGGAGGTTTTTTCTTTCTTTAAAGTTTCAAAGAATATTTCATTTATTTATCTCTAATATTACTTATCATATAAAACATATTTTTAAATGTAATTAGAACAAAACTCAAACAAATTTACTGCACAACACGAAACACAACCGAACACGACGGATGCTCGTACAACAAGAAGAATGAAAAAACTTGCTAACCATTAAAAGCAGCCCACACACAGTGGTTGCCAGATTGATATAGATAATTTTAAACATTTCTCCCACCTAGACGTGGAGATACAACCGGATCTTGCGTCTATATTACTCGTGTGCTTCAGGACGTCCTTCAATGTCGATTGGTAAAACAGAGATCTTCGTAATTGGCCGTTTCACAATGGCGGACTGTGTTTTTATGGTTACGACCCGAACAGCACCGTCCGTGCCAGGATGGACTTGGATAATGCGGCCAAGCAACCAGGAGCTTGGAGGCAATCGTTCATCTCGAAGTAGGACCAGTTGACCGGTTGCGACATTTGTTTGGCTTTTAGTCCATTTGTTTCTGGCATGTAATTGTGTTAAATATTCTTGGGACCAACGGCGCCAAAAGTCTTGATACATCTGGCTTAACATCTTCCATCGGAATAGTACACCAATCTTTGTATTTAGCAAATTAGGTTCAGGTACGGCAGATGGCGCTCGTCCAATCAAAAAGTGTCCTGGTGTCAACGCTGATAAGTCTGTGGGGTCATCAGATAGAGCCGTAAGCGGCCGCGAATTTAAACAATTTTCGACTTGTTTTAATAACGTGTAAAATTCTTCAAAAGTTAAAGTTGCCGTGTTTACTACACGCTTAAGATGAAATTTCATGCTTTTTACTCCTGCCTCCCATAGGCCACCAAAATGAGGCGCTGCGGGTGGTATAAAGTGCCAATTTATGCCAACGGTTGATGCAAACACAGACCCAGCTTCAATTTGTTTTTTAAATAATTTAATTTCATCTTTCATTAAAGCATCAGCACCGACAAAGGATGTACCACGATCGCTGTACATATCTGAGCATATGCCACGGACTGATACAAATCGCTTTAACGCTGCTAGAAATGTTTCAGATGTCATATCACTCACAAGTTCCAAATGAATAGCTCGTGTAATAAAACATATAAATAGAGCCACATACCCCTTGTAAGTACGTTGGCCTCTCCCTCTTGTCGCTCTCACATTAAATGGACCAGCATAATCCACGCCCGTGTGCATGAATGGCTGTGATATATTACACCGTGCTGGAGGTAAGTTACCCATAAGTTGTGCTTGCGGTCGACAGGCTTGACGAAAACATGTAATGCATTTGTTAATCACTCTCTTCACAGCGGATCTTCCTTCAATAACCCAAAATTGCCGTCGCACATATGCTAATGTTGTTTGAGTTCCGCCATGTAATGTTCGACTATGAGCGTGATTAATAATCAACGTAGTAAAATCATGACGTTTGGGTAATATCATTGGACTTCGTTCATCTGAAGGAATATTCGCATTTTGAAGTCGTCCATTTAGACGCATAATTCCGTCGGAATCAAGCTTCGGATTCAATTTAAACAATTTACTTGATTTGTTGATTGGATTGCCTTTCCGTAAAGCGGCATAATCGTTGGTAAACTCGGTCCTTTGTACAATTGTTACTAATTTTTTAAGAACCGTATAACGTTCTTGCCAAGTGCAGAAACTTTCATCCCTACGCATCCTTTTTTGACACATATGAATAAAACGTAGGCATTGCGCCACGACTACGAGTAATTTGTCAAGAGTAGCATATCGTCCAAATATTTCCCACACTTCTGTTGATAACTGCGTAGTTAATGAGTTAATCTCTTTTTTCTCAGGTAAACTGTCAGGAGTATGATTGATTTGGTGGTTAGGCCACATTTTCTCATTTAAGCGAAGCCAAGATGGTCCATACCACCACATCAGATTATCTTTTAGTTGCAAAACGGTATTGCCTCGTGATGCACAATCAGCCGGATTATCCTTTGTTGCAATATACCTCCAGTCTTCAATATTTGTCATTGACTGAATTTGTGACACTCTGTTTGCCACGAACTGCTTCAATTTGCCTGGATCAGTTCTAATCCACCACAGTGTGGTTGTATTATCAGTCCACAAAATACAGCGTGATAGTTGACACTTAAATGTTCCTTTAACCTTGTGTAGAAGTTTTGCTGCTAGCAATGCTGCACATAATTCTAAACGTTGTATAGACGTTTCTTTCAACGGGGCTACCTTAGTTTTACTAATAAGCAAATTTACAAAGCTGGTCGTACCGATGGTTGTTTTCGCATATACTGCAGCCGCATATGCTTGATTTGATGAATCACCAAATGCGTGTAATTCAATTGCACTTGTCGAAGTGGTGTTTATCCAACGTGGGATTCGAATGTGATGTAATTGTTGTAAGTCAATACGAAAGTTATGCCAAATGTTTGCCATCTCTATTGACAAGGGATCATCCCAATCGGATCCAGTACGCCAGAGTTGTTGCAGAAACATCTTTCCTCGAATGATAACCGGAGCCAAGAACACAAGTGGATCAAATAACTTCGATATGTCAGACAACATTAGTCGTTTTGTGTAATGATGGTTGTCACAAGTTACATTGACGTTGTAACCAAAACTGTCGGATTTTGTATACCAAGTAAGACCAAGTGTCTTAGTTTTATACTCGGTGTTAATTTCCACATCGTCGGCGTGAGCTTTTACGTCCTCAGTCAGAGTGCTTAAAACGTCATTTGAATTCGAATTAAATTTACGTAAAGTGAAGCCTGCAGTTGCTAGAAGCTCCTGAAGTTCGTGCAATTTTTCTGCAGCTTCGATTGGAGTGTCTCCACCTGATAGTACGTCATCAATGTAAAATTCATTTAGAATCGATTCAGCTGCCCGTGGAAAACGAGTTTGCTCCTCTTTTGCCAGAGTACGCAATACTTTGATGGCAAGATATGGAGCACAATTAGTCCCATATGTTACAGTGAGCAACCGGAACGTTGTAGGGGCGTCCCCGTGTCGAACGCGCCACATTATTCGTTGCAAATCCACATCTTTGCTATCAACAAGAATTTGCCTGTACATTTTCTCGATATCTCCTGTAAACACTATAGGGTAATGCCGCCATTGCAAGATGATATTTGATAGATCATTTTGTAATCTGGGACCTATATGCAGACAATCATTAAGAGATATTCCGCTCAAACATTTATTAGAAGCATTGAAGACTACGCGAAGCTTCGTTGTAGAACTCGATGCTTTATAGACACCATGGTGAGGAAGATAACATGTTGAAGCTACATCATACGAGTGTGGCACCACTTCCATATGGCCACAGGTCTGATATTCGTCCATGAAATCTTGGTAGAGTTTGTACATATCCGGATCTCGGGTTAATCGCTGTAACGTGCTGTTTAATAATGCAAGTGCATTTAGTTTACTTGACTTAAGTGTTGCCAAATCAGCTTTCTGCTTGATTGGTAGTCTAACCACATATCGACCCGTTGCGTTGCGTACAGTTGTACGCTCAAAAAAATCTTCACAGTACATTTCATCTTTTGTTAACGGAGCGTGGTTTGTTATTTCTTCCAATTCCCAAAATTTATGTAGCATTTCGTGCAATGTTGCCCGAGTATGACAGCAATTAACTTGTCCTTTCACTGAAATACCCTTTCGTCGCGACAGTCCACCAAAAATTACCCAACCGAGTTGCGTATATTGGGCAACAATATTGTTAGTTGGATGCCGTTTTAGTCGCTCATAGACAATAGCAGCATAATCTGAAGCGCTCAAAATCATATCGACTGCCCCCGGAACCTGTAATTGAGGATCAGCTAAATCTAAATTCATGAACTCACCAAGCGCTTCTTTCGGTATGGGAATGGTTGGGGTAACGCTACCCACTCGTGGAAGTATTAGTGCAACACAATTCATGTTGAAATCGGATTTTAACGAATGGATTGTAAATGAAACCATTCCTCTTGAATTGGCGACCCTTTCACCATTTGCACCACTCACCGACACTATGACATTTGTTTTGTCCAGTTTTAACCGCTGCACGATGAATTCGCTGACAAACGTTGCTTCCGACGCGCTATCCAAAAGAGCTCGCACAATAAGCTTCTGACCAGAAGGACTCCTTACCTCTATCAATGCAGTGCCAATTAAAACAGTCTGTAGATGTAAAGTTCGAGCACCTTGATTAGCACTGGAAATGTATGTATTATTTGATGTGACAGCGTATTTCTTAGTCGCTTCAGTGGTCTTTTCCGGTATATTTGAGTAATTAGTTTCTCCACCACTTCCACTATGGTCATGTAGTAATGTATGATGCGCTGCATTACATCGCAGACACCGATATTTCGATGGACAATTATGACCCATGTGTCCCGTTCTCAAACAATTGAAACACAATCTTGCAGATCTGACTACCTCATATCTCTTTGTCCCAGTCATTTGCCGAAATTCTGCGCAATATGCCAGTAAATGCTTACCTTGACAATGCACGCATTGTTGAACAGTGGTATGATGGCTTTTCACGAACCCCTTTGTTCTGATAGGTGTTACAAACTTTTTCTCCTGATTAGAGTTATCGGTCATGCTATTAACTACCTCCAGCGAATGTATTCGATTTTCTAAGAAACTGACCAGCTCCTCAAATTTTGGAATTTGTTCTAAACTGGTTGTTGACAGCTCCCAAGCTGAGCGTGTTTTCGTGTCTAATTTTTGGAGAAGGGTAAAGACCAACCAATCGTCCCAATGCTGCACTGGACGACCCAATTGCTCTAACGCACGCACAGCTGACGTGATGGTGTCACATAACAAGCGTAAACTATTTGGTAAACCATCAGACACCGTTGTTAAATTAACAATTTGTTTTAAATACGCATTAAGAATGATCCTCTTGTTCTCATACTTGCGGACGAGTAAACTCCATGCTACTGCCCAATGTGCATCTGTTGTAGTAATGTTGTCTAGGGCGTGTTGAGCGTCCAACACTAACGCATCTTTTAAATATTGAAGTTTCTGTGTATTAGACAATGCAACGTTATTTGATACAACTGACGTGAATAAATCCTTAAATGCGTACCAGTGCAGATAATTACCATCAAACGACGGAATTTTAATACGTGGTAAATTAGACGTCAGTTCCATGCTTGACACACCTTTAATTACAGTTTCGTTATTACCTGGAGATTCTATAACTTCAGTGCTTTCTAACTCATCGATTAGCTCTCCCATCATTTCCGAATAAATTATTTCAATTTCCATGTAACTGTCTTCGCTAACTAACGCTTTTATTGTGTCACTCACTTCTTCCACCTTTGCACCGTCATAAATATTGGCCAACAAATCTTCTCGAGCTTCCTTGTACTGCGTCCAGTAACTTTCCAAGAGATTCTTTCTGGCAGTGAAGAAACCTTTTGTTTGCTTGCTTTTTGCCGTTTTCCGTATGTTGGTGGAGAAGTTTTTCAGCAGGGATTGCGTAGCTTCCAATTTTCTGGCGATTTTTTGCATTTTCAGATTTTATGCGAATCAACTGTGATTATTTTCGAAAGTAAATAATTGTGCCCAGCGGCTATAAAATTTGGTAGATATGCCCAGCGGCTATGAATATGAAAGATACGCCCAGTGGCTATAACTTTGAGAAATATGCCCAGCGGCTAGACGAAGCACGCGATCTTCGTAGGCAGCAACACACAATTGAACGCAAAAGATATGTTGCTCCCCGCAAGGGATGCCAAAAATGTTCGTTAAATGCGGTTTTTTCTTTCTTTAAAGTTTCAAAGAATATTTCATTTATTTATCTCTAATATTACTTATCATATAAAACATATTTTTAAATGTAATTAGAACAAAACTCAAACAAATTTACTGCACAACACGAAACACAACCGAACACGACGGATGCTCGTACAACAAGAAGAATGAAAAAACTTGCTAACCATTAAAAGCAGCCCACACACAGTGGTTGCCAGATTGATCTAGATAATTTTAAACAGATGCTATTTATTAAAAATCAATGTATATAAATACATATTTATTAATTCATTAAAAATATACAAATATATAAAAATATTTAATAAATTATAATTATACTAATAAAATTGACGATGCATTCACTTGCACAGTCAATAATATTTTTGTAGCACTATAACTGCGTTTACGCTGGGTGCATTAAATAAATTTTTTTTTTGGTATTTACTAACAATTATATATACAAATAAGAAAATATTCTTGGGATAAATCATTATAAATTTTCTATCAGACAAGAAAGGTCTGTAAAATTTCTTATAAATATAATAAATAATCCTGGAGGACTTAACAAAAAATTTCTCCAAAATGGCCACAAACACTACTCCATCTACTACAATAACTCAAGAGACGATCAGCAGATTGATCTCTGTTAATTTGTTATCCCTTAGGGAAGAAGTTAGGAGTTTGAAAAGTCAAATTCAAACACTGACTGGTACAAATACCGTGGTGGAATACGAACCACAGACAATAGACGAGACAATAACGTGCGACGAAAGTCTAGACGTAATAAAATCCATTCCAGAATTTACTGGAAATCAAAATTCTTACGTTAGTTGGAGAGAAGCAGCTCACAATTGCATGAGCCTCTACACCAGAGGTAGCCGAAAATATTTTGCTGCCCTAACAATATTAAGGAACAAAATAGTTCATCAAGGAAACGATGTACTAACCAATCATGGAACTGTCCTTAATTATGACGCCATTATAAGCAGACTTGATTTTGCTTATGCTGATAAGCGTCCAGTTCACGTCATTGAACAGGAAATGAGTATCCTTAGGCAAGGCTCATCCACTGTCCTTGATTATTATAATCTGGTTAATAAAAAATTAACCCTTTTAATAAACAAAACAATAATGACTCACGGTAATGACTCGTCCATTACTCGTGAATAAAATAACAAAAATCGTCAGAACGCCTTAAGAGTGTTCATTACTGGGCTACACGCTCCATTAAATGATATATTATTTTCCCTTTCACCTACAGATTTACCTAACGCTCTAGCCAAAGCTCAGGAGTTAGAATCCAATAATTTGCGTGCAAAATTCGCATTCCAATTCTCTGATCAGAGAAAAACTTTTAATCAAAATAATTTCTCCAATAACTTGCGCTTTAATCGCGCAAATGTAAACAAGCCCAGGCAAAATAATTTTCCCAAGCCTGAACCAATGGATGTTGATACATCCATACAACAGAGGCCACATCCTCAAAACAGACATATACCACAGTTTCGAGGAAACAATAACAATTTCTGGAATCCAAATGGATCACCACAAAATCAGGGAAGGATGCAACGACCCTTCAACAATTTAAAGCATCGTCGCGAGAATAGCGAAAATAGCAATCAACCGCAGGCAAAGGCCCAGCGAGTTAATAATTTAAATGAGAACCATTTTTTAGGTCCAATATCGGACTCCCTTTCATTTACAGAAGGGACAAAGCAATAAATAGAAACCTCCAAATACTAATAGATACAGGTGCTACGGCTTGTTATATCAAAGCCGGTATCTATAAAAATAAACAAAAACTAAGCATAAAAAAAGAAGTAAAAACCATTAATGGCTATACAATTATAAGCCATTATCATATTGTTCATCTATTTGGACATAAACAATTATTTTACGAGATAAAGAATCTCGAATCTGATTTTTTAATAGGTTACAATTTTTTAAAAAAAATTAAAGCAACCATTGACATTGAGCAAGGCTTGCTCAAATATGAAGGAGGTCTAGAAAAAATATATGACAGCAATATAAAAAGAGGCCAACAAGAACCAACGACTCAAACAAAAAATTATATAGAAAACTATATAAAGATACCCCCTTGGGATAAAGAATATCCTAAGGCGCCAGCCGAAGATAATACCGGCAAGAATAAAAAATTAACGACTCAAACAGAAAATTATATAGAAAAATATATAAAAATACCCCCTTGGGATAAAGAATATCCTAAGGCGCCAGCCGAAGATAATACCGGCAAAAGTAAAAAATTAAATAAAAATAAAAATTCAAGTAAATTGAATAATATTTCCGGAAAAATAAATCCTGAAAAGCCAGCCGAAGATAATACCGGCAAAAATGAAAATATAAATGGGGAACAGTGTCGTTTACCCTTAACAAATAATATTAAAGAGAGTTCAGAAGATGATATTTCTGAACCATATTCTCACGATACCTTAATGGAAACTTCCACATTAGGATCTTTAAATGTACGGATAAAAGATAATATCACGTACAATGAAAGTGAGAGATACTTAGGGGAAATAAGGAAAAAGGTTAGGCTTGAAGCCACCTTAAAAAATAAAATAAATATTAAGCTCTAAAAAAGCTCTAAAAAGATTAAGCCGAAGAAATTACCGGCAATATAATAAATAAAAATCATTGAATCAATTATAATATTGTCCTGTATGTGAAGAATGAGGCTCCTTAGTAGCTTTATTTAAAAAATAAAAGAGGAAAAGGGGATACTTTTAGTATCAGCCGCTTCATTACAAGAACAATACATATAATTGTTAAAACTCCTACACGGAATAAACAATAACATGATTCTAATATAACAATACTAAAAGAATATCTTCAACCAAAATTGGTTACGGCAATTTATTGCACTCCTGAAGACCTATATGAAATAAAGGTCATGCTTAAGCAAACTTTTAGTAACAAATTTTTGCATACTAAACACTTTCCTATTGATATTCCAAATAGGGATGATCAAAGTATTATAATAGAACAAATACATATTAGAGCTCATCGTAGTTATGATGAGAATATTAAACAAATAACTGCCATGTACTATTGGCCTGAAATGTTTAAACAATTACGAGAATATTGAAGAAACTGCGTGATATGTAATACTAATAAATACGATAGGCATCCACAGAAGATACCTATAAAGGAAGCTCCAATTCCAACAAAAGTAGGAGAAAACCTACATATAGATATATTCTATGCTCAAAAATTAAAATTTATTACATGCTTGGACTCTTACTCAAAGTTTTTAATTATAAAAACCATAGAGAACAAATTTAATTTAGATGAAAAAATTCTAGAAATATTACAAACATTCCCAGAAGCTAAACATATTACTCTGGATAATGAACCAAGCTTGAGCACCCCTCAGTTCAAATCTCTCATGCAAAGGATGAATATCCTTCTTTACTATTGTGATCCCCGTCACAGTACAACAAATGGACAAGTGGAAAGAGTCCACTCAACAATTGTTGAGATTGGCAGATGTATTAAACAAGAATATAATCTTGTAAATGACCTAGAAGTCATATTGAGATCTGCCCAACAATATAATAAAACAATCCACACAATCATAAAAGAAAGACCAAATGATGTCTTCTTTAACAAAATTAATCATGAACATATTCATGAAAAATTGAAAACGGCACAAGCACGAATGCTAAAATGCCATAATAAAAATCGCTTAGATAAAAGCTTTGATGTAGGCCAGGTCATATATGAAAGAATTATTGGTGAACGAAACAAGTTACAACCAAGATTTAAAAGACAAATAGTAAAAGAAGACCTTGGTAATAAAATTAGAATAAATAATAGGAATAGAATTATTCATAAGGATAATATAAAAAATAAATTTATATAAAATAAATCCTTTTTTATTTCAGCATGTTTGTATATATCAAACTAATTATACTGATATTATCAGTAAATGGAGAGATAATAGACTATACTAGGGATAATTACATATTAATAAAAAATAATGACGCCTTGACATATTATAATTATAGTGACATTCTACACGTTACTAACTTAACCTATTATAGAGACATTCTAAGTGACGAAAAGCAATTTTTCGAAATTGAAAAGAAAAAACATTCTTACAACCAAGCAGAATTCATCGACGTAGAAATGGAAATAGAACTAGTAGAAACTCTACTCAGTCAACTCGAGAATAAAAGATTCAAAAGAGGAATAAATGAATTAGGCACCGTCTGGAAATGGATAACGGGAACCCCCGACCATGACGACTTTGTACAAATAACAAGTAAAATAAATGACCTAATCATAAACAATAACAAACAATATTCTACGAATTCAGAATTGTTTAAAACAATTCGAAGGTTAACTCAAACGGTGGACACATTAACAGGACACGTATATCAAAAAATTGTGCGAAGGCACAGACTAAAAATCATAATAACTGAATTACAAAATACTATTCAGACAATAGCTTTAGCAAAAGCAAACATTTTATATCCATCCGTGTTACACCTTGAAGAAATTAAAGATATACTTCAACATGAATATAAACAAATTTCTATAATCGATCTGCTGGACGTCTCTACTTTCAAAATTGTCCAAAAAAATTCATTAATAATAATATATATCAAGTATCCTCTGATAACTGATAGATGTATTCTTTTCGAAACAAGGCCTATATTCCAGTCTGATGGAAAGTTAATTATCCCAAACGAAATAATAAAATGTCAAAGTATCTACTATAATATTGATAATTG